TGTGTTCGTATGAGTGTGTGTCTGTGTTCGTATGAGTGTGTGTCTGTGTCTGTGTTCGTATGAGTGAGTGTCTGTTCGTATGAGTGTGTGTGTAAATGTAAATAATAGTTGTGTGGTGTGGAGCCACACGCGACGGTTCTAGTTCTGTTCTTGGTTTTGACTGAGTTTCTCTTAACCGAACATTAATTGGTCATGTATCAACAACATATTAATGTAAAAGTGTTTTATTAGTTTAACCATGTTTTTCTACTAAACCGTAGTTACTAGTGTTTGTACTGGTTTTAAATTGTGGTAGTTTATCCACCGCATACTAAATATTTTCCTATTTCTGTGATTGTATTGAAAACTGTTGTGAGTTCTGTTGATTTAAAAAAAAAAGTTATATCTCGTTAGCAGATCATGTTTTGCTAAAACTATAAGAGTCATTTGTGGTAGTGTTGAAAACATAGGTTATAATAGTTAAAAAATGGATGAACAATTGATAATATACCATCGTGTGCCAGCAAAAGTATGTTTGTGAATTTGTGAATCTGTCTTGGAGTTAAATTGTAGCTGCACTGTTTTCATAATTATTTTTTAAAAGAATGAATAACACAATATTGCGGTTGTGAATGTTATTATAAAAATAAAATATATATTTTTTTATATAAAAATGAAAAGTACTTTATATAAGATTATATAGAAAATCTGTATTATTGAGCCCTGCGTGTTAAATTGTATTTTAATTTGAACTTTCCTTCAGACCGCAGATCTCTGTATGACAGCTCAGCATGACCTGCATCGGTAGACCTGGATTCCTCCTAAGTGACAGTGACTCCAGTGATTCAGAGGAGCTGCCTGTGTTTGATTTCTCACAGTCAAAATCCAGACAGCCCAACTTGGTGGTTTTAGACAGTTCAGACTCAGAAATGGCTCCTGTTGCTGATTCAGTTTCATCTCTGGAGGTCCACGCCTCTGCTGGAGCTGCTAGAAGTGACGTGTTGATGCTCAGTAGTGACAGCGAAGAGGAGGAGGAGGCCATGATTCCCTTAGCTGTAAGACTGAAACAGAAACAGCTTGGCCTGGGTACAGCAGCCACCAGTGCAGAGGAGACCCGGGCTTCCAATGCGGTTTCCAATGGATGTTCTCGCCTCTTAGATGCTCCTCCAGCACATCATATCAACCCCGAGGCCCAGCCAGTTGAACGTAAAAAGATCTGTAGCAATACAACAAGGCAGTGCAGCTCTAATGACGATGTACCATACCTCACAAAAGAACCTCCACCTGAAGCGGAGAATGGCACTTACCTGGCCAAATGCAAGAAAACCCCAGCAGAAGTGGAGGCTGCCAGACAGGAAGCCCTGAGGAAAAGAGCAATGCGAGAGCATCAGCAGGAAGAGAAGGAGAGATTGAGGATGGAGAAGAAAGCTCTGGCTGATGCTGTGAAAGCCCTAAGGCCAGAGGAGTGCATCAAACACATGGTGGTGACGGTCGACCCAGGTAGGTGGCAGTGTGTGCCTGCAGTGCTCATCTTTGCTGTCCCAGGTGCTTTCAGGGCTCTGTGTGCTTTGATACTTTTTCCGAGTTGTTATAAAGCACTGGCATGAGGTATTAAGCTGCATTTGCTGAATTAATTAGTATTGATTGGCTGTCTCTCCCTCATAGGCTTACTGCAGCTGGAAGGTGGCGGCGCTCTCCTGACTTCCCTGCATGCCATGGGCTGCAACTGTGCCATAGAGAAGCAGTCTCTTCCTCGTAGTGTCACCTGGGCTAGACGCTCACCCTGCCCTCAGGCACGACAGCACTCTACACATACAAATGCAGAAAAGAAAACATTTTAACCATGTTCCTTGTCACACTGGGACGATAAATCGATGCAGAATCGATTCGTGGATCGATTCTTAGATTTTCAAAATGAAACGCGATTCCTCTGGAATCGGTTCTGAGCTTAGCTTTTAATAGCAGATAGCGCTCTAATCTAATTTTTATCCGCACACTCAAATGCTCATGAAGAAGAGTGATAAAGAGCGCTTGTGCATTCGGCTGAGTCATGTAATTTCACCTCCGCTCAGAATGCTTTTATGCCGCGAGATTAATGCAAACACAGCCCACTGTGAAGCTTCAACCTTTTCGAATTTTATGAATGATTATTTTAGGTTCAAGTAGGGCTGTGCAAAAAATCGAATGCAATTTTCACGTGCATCTCGTCAGTAAAGCCGCTTCTGGTGATTAGTAGTAAATCTCCAGCATGTGGTTTCAGATGGAACGGCATTTACTACACAGAGCCGTAGTTCACTGACAAGCTACACAAATTGCGTTCAAAATCGGCAATGAATTGCCTGCGATTTTGTGTAGCTTGTCATTCGATTTATTTTCTCAGCCCTAGTTCCTTGTCATTTGCTTTGAGATGCAGATGGGGATAAAGAAAATGAATTCAGTAAATTAATTGTTTTCCTGTTATGGCTGGACATTTTGGACAAATTGTATCTTTAAAAAAAAACATCTTAACCAGTGGTTCTCAACCCGGAGGCCAGGACCCACTAGGGGGCTTTGAACAAACTTTTAGCGGGCCCCAATAAGTCTTAAAGTCTGTGTGAAATCAAAATGTACAATATTTATTTTGTTAGTGCACATTGCTAATTTTACGGTGAAGAATTAATCCATGCAAATTAATCCACTGCAAAAAAATTTTTTGTCTTGGTAATCTTTAATAACAATCTGATCATTTGCTTCCACTCTGGAATAGCATTCCTCCTCTGGTGACGTCAGTTTGACAGCTTGGGCAGAATATGCTTAACCACGTCCCTACAACAGCTAGATTGCTGTGAGTGAGATTTGAGAGGAGGAGCACAAAAAAAACCTTGCCCTTTATTCAATATTCTGTTTCAGTTAGAAATACGTCACCATACTGAAGTAAAGTTGGCAGCAACTTCCAGTTCACACAGACTTAAAAAGTATTTAAATGTACTTTTAGTAACACACTAAAATCTTAATATGATTCTAAACAACAACAGAAAAAGATGTACCGCATTAATCTGACATTCTATTTTTGTGTTCAGTTTGTTTTATTACAACAGATGTGCCAGAGTTTTGTGTTAGGTTAGATAGGAGATATCTTGAATATTGTCTTGGACAAAAGGGGGACTTGTAGTCAAAAAGGTTGAGAACCTCTAATTTAAATCTTTTTACACATATTTTTATAGTTCATTTGAATGTTTTATTTGCAGACTGGTGAGATGATGTCCATTCCAGACTCAGATACTGTAATCCAAGTTCCTGTGGATGACTTTGTAACCATGATTAATAACTACTGCAAGGTAGGCACATTATGTTCTGATATGGTGTAATTTCCTATTGGACCATTATAATTACCTAATTAACCATTAATAGGATAATTGTTTGATGTGCCTTTTTTGTATGATGTGCTAACTAAAATTTAAATTAAAAGAGTTTTGTGGCTGAAAGGGCAAAAGAAAAACTAGCAGTTATGACCTTTCCAAGAAGAGTCAGAGCAATTAAGGGTAATGAATATAATTACAGGATCACCTCTCAATTATGTAAAAAATGATCCATAAGCTCTTTAAAATATGCTGTTGCTCAATCTTTGAGAAATGCATTTCTTCAGAATTTTGACAGCCTTGGGATTTCACTCCTGATTGGGCTCTGTGGGTCTTTTTTTTTTTTTTTTTTTAATGTAGAGGCAATGCAACGGTGTGTTGACGGAAAGTGGCATATCTCTGACCGCCTGGATCCAAGGACTTATGAGCAGGAACCCAGGCAGAACCATCAGTCTGGTTGTGATTGACATAGAGAAGTACTTCAGGTGAGTGACTTACTGAGAGTCAGACATTGTTTTAGTTTTTGACAATTTATTTGAAATTTCATCTAAATGCTTTGACAAATATACAAGCTTTACACTTGTTATTTAATACTAAATTTTTATGTTTATGAATTTATTTATCCATAAATTGAGCAGTACTCATAAAACAAAACATTAGCATATGTATGTTAGATTTTAAATGACAGATCAGTGAAGAGTTTATAATTGCTTAATTTTGCATTAAATGTTCTTTTGCAGAAGCCAGAATTCAAAATGTCAGAAGAAATACCGTGAAGCAGTGCTGGGTGGGGAGAAGAATGTGGGACTTCAGGGAGGGCAGAAAAAGAGAAGAAAGAAAGACGATATCAATCAGCTTCCTGAGGTCTCGCGAGTGCAGGTGGAGGAGGTAAGCTGAACCACCTCATTGGCAGTCGATATAAATTCATGGTCTTATTTGAGGTGCTCTGCTTCAACTCAGTCTTTTTTCCCTCACCTGTCCATCAGGCTTTGGTAGACCTGCAGCTGCAAACTGGGGTGCAGGTTCGCTTCCTCTCTACCTGGAAAGACTTCACTGATTATATTACTATGTTAACCAAAGCAGTAGCCGAGGCACCGTTCAAGTGAGTGGGAAGCCAGTTTCCATATTTATCGCTCTCCAACCAGCTGCATCTGTAGCTACGGTGGTTTATTTTTTACTTGGTGGTGTATGTTTATTCTTCCCAGGCGGGAGCGAGAGAAGACGGGATTCACATTTTGTTTGGAGAGTGAGTGGGCGGGGGGTCAGAAGGTGGACCGCTCAGGGAACGGCCTTCTGCAAGTTTGGAAGAGACAAATACAACAGTTGAACCGCGTCAGCCCTGATATGGCCAGTGCTATACTTAATGCCTACCCCTCTCCTCGGCTTCTTGCTCAGGTTAAAGCTGTTTTCAAATGTGAAGTGTCTAACAGCAAATACAAATTGTATTTGCAGCCTATTATCAGCAGACAGATTAACAACATATTGGCATATACCGTTTTTTATTTTGTGTATAATCATTTTATTTAGGACCTTTAGTGTTTTTTGTTGCAAGATCTCATGTTTGAATGTATATTTGTTACTTGTAGGCATATGCACGGTGCAAATCGGAACATGAAAAAGTTGGTCTGCTGGCAGACATACTAATTCGCCGTGGAGAGGGTGTGACATCTACAACCCGCAGAGTTGGTCCGGAGCTTTCCAAACGGATGTTTCTTTTGATGACGTCACGTGACGCCCATCAGCCCCTTGATTCTGCTGTATAGGTTCTTCTGTCTCCTCTTCTGTCTACACATGAGGACAGATGTCAAAAGCATTGTTATAGATATTTATTACAGTTCAGATATTTTATAAACTTCAAGCCTGAATTTGCCAGATTTTCAGTTATATTTTTGTCTGTTTGTACTATAAATTGTTGCCATTAAATTCTTCTTAAAGTACCTGAAAGCCATTATTTACCATTACCATCATTACCATTACCTTAAACCATTACCATCTCCATCAGAATGAGTTTTTCTGAAATGACCTCGGTCCAAACCTTTCTGTACCTCTATACTAAAGGGGGAATCTTGAAAGTTTAACTTTTTCTGGAATGCTCTTTTGAGTTTTTTGTTCTCTTCATCCCAGTGGCAAATAACCTTGGATGGCAGAAGCCGAAATGCAGTAAATTCTCAGAAATGTACGCACGCACTGCATTTTTTGGACGCATTTAAGACCGGTAGGTCATACCCAAGCTGTTTCATTTAGAATTCATTCACTTTATGTTATCCTTACATATTTTAGCAGCACTAGAGAGGGCACTGTTAATTGCAAAAGCAACAGTTTCAGTTTTGGCTTTTTTCCTGTTTAAGGCACTACTGCGCTCCTTTCAGAACCAAAATGGCCCCTTGAGCACACCGTACTTACTGTCTAAAGACTGTAGAGGCTCATGGCTCATTTCCAGCACATTAGAGAATGGCACCTGACCAAGGAGTGTCATGTTGCCTGAAACGAGCGGTGGGGTAACGAGCCGTTAAATGTGCTTAAGAGATGAGCTGCATGCTTCGTCCCTGTCCCTGAAGGCAGTATTTCCTCCACAGTTTAAGGGATGGCATAACAAACTATGGCTAGTAGGTGTGTGCTTGTGCCGAAGGGAATTATATGAGCAGAATTACGGCAGCTTGAAAAGGGATCACCTTGGATTGATTGTTTAGCTGAATATATGAAATCCAATTTTCGTGTACTCTGAACGCAGACCATAATAGCTTTTATGACCTAGAGTCTGCAGTGCTAACATCTTCAGTGGCATGTGAATGGTTGAATGGGACTTTAATTTCCAAAAAGCAGTTGTAGGATGTTACGACTTACAAAGTACAATGTAACTCATCTAACCTAAATGTTTTGGAGGAGGAATAGTTTCTCTCTGCATGTGTTCCATTTGCATCAAAATACGAATATTAAGTGCAAAAGGTCTGTATATATTCAGCTGCAGTGTGCATATGAGTCATGACTACACATGATAGATTACACCCTGTAAAGTATTTCTGTTCAGCAGTGTAGCAGTTTCTCATTTCTGGTGCGCACAGGATTCTTCCTGCTTCTTGTTGGAGATTAATACGGATTGGGAGTGGCGTTAGGTCAACGTCGGCCACCTTTACTCACAGTCAATAGAGTGGGAAGCAAAGCAGGGCTGTTAGTCACTGTCTTTCCCTGGATATTCTCAACTCGGCTCATCAATTGGAAAAATGCACCTTCTTATCGGCCGCCACACAAGATGGAGTGCCACAGGCAGTGCTGTTTATGGTTTTGTGAGTTTTGTTCCAGTTCCAGTTTCGTATTCTTGGCAGAGTGGGTGCACTTCCAATTTCTTGGGTTGTGCCACAGTAATGCCACCTGTAGTGTGCTGGCCCTCCGTTGACAGTGACATAATAATAACACGTTTCCTCAGGCAAGTGATATGGCAAAAAGACAAAGCCTCTGATATTATCCTTCCATTGCAATCTCGGTGTGTTTTGCCTTGGCGCTTGGTGAATCAGTCCACTCGGAGCCACTTGCTAAAACGACAAGAGAGAATGTCAAAGACTCCATCAATCCATTTCAGAGCATGAGTAGGCCGGCCACTGTGGTATTGGTTTCTTTGCCACCAGCGTTCAATCAATGTTTCCTGCTTCTCTTTAAAAATAAATCATTATATGGCTCTGCTTCTGCCTTTCTTTTGTTCATTTGCAAATCAGACGCAAGCGATTCAAGTGTTCAGATCCAGCTCTTGTGGGAAAAGAGATGCAAAACCCTCAAAAAAACAACTTTCGCTTCCAGAGCTAGAGGGTTTTTAACTTCAGAGGAAAAACATTGCATTGTTATTGCAGGATTTTGTTTTCTACCTTGCTCTCTCCTACCAGCCTTTTTTTTTTAAGACTGCACATATGTACAGAGTTTCTTCTCAAAGTGGATTTTTGTTGTTTTTTGTCCAGTCGGTTGGCTGAATTTTTGATTGCCACATGAGGGCAGAATTGCTTCACGCTGAATGTACACTAACTAGACCAGTGAATCCACACTGGTGTTGCTTTTTTCTCAACTTGATGTTTTATTGAATGTCACATTGCGATCCAACACAGTAGCAAGATTGTTCTTAAAACTGAACTGTGCAGTTCATGGTATTAATATTACCATGAACTGCACAGACCCAACAATATGCTAAATTTGTTATCGTGACATAAGCTTGTCTGTATGGTTTGAGTGTTTGATGTTTCTTGAGTTTAGATTTAGAGTTTTCTTTCTCTCAGCAGCCAGTAATACACTGCACAAGTTTCCGCTCCCAGCAAGTGAAATGTAGTTTGGATTATTTATTTTATTTTACTTTGCATCATTTTGTTTGTCACACAACATTTCCATGTTGGCATCTGAATTATTTGGCTAGATCAACTCTGACTTTTTGTCATCCAAACCCCTTTGACGTAAAATATTTATTTGAAGTACCCTGAGATTTTATTTTAATATTTCAATCATTTAAAACCATATTCATGTTCTCAGCTCTCTGATATCAGTTAATGGTCACACATGACATGCAGGTAAACAAATAAAATATTTAGTTAGTCTTAGTCTATTAATACAAATGTTAAAGGGTTAGTTCACCCAAAAATGAAAATTCTGTCATTAATTACTCACCCTCATGTCATTTTAAACCCTTAATACCTCCGTTCATCTTCGGAACACAAATTAAGATATTTTTGATGAATTCTGAGAGCTCTCTGACCCTCCCATAGACCGCAATGTAATTACCACGATCAAGGTCCAGAAATGTAGCAAGGAGATCGGTAAAATAATCCATGTGACATCAGGGGTTCAACCGTAATTTTACGAAGCTACGAGAATAATTTTTGTATGCAAAGAAAACAAAAATAACGACTTAAATCAACAATTTGTCGTCTCCGCGTCACCCTGGTGCCATTTTGGAGAATATCCACTGAATGTAAACAGCGTATGCTATTCTGTGTCAGCTGCGTCACACATTTTCTATGTTGTTTACACTTTGATTTGAACGAAAACAACGTATCCGCGTGACGCAGCTGACACAGAATAGCATACGCTTATGTTCAGTGGATACTCTCCAAAATGGCACCAGGGTGACACGGAGGAGACGAATTGTTGAATAAAGTCGTTATTTTTGTTTTCTTTTTGCGTACAAAAAGTATTCTCGTAGCTTCATAAAATTACAGTTGAAATCCTGATGTCAGATGGATTATTTTACCGATGTCCTTGCTACGTTTCTGGACCTTGATCGTGGTAATTACATTGCTGTCTATGGGAGGGTCAGAGAGCTCTCATAATTCATCAAAAATATCTTAATTTGTGTTCCGTCTTACGGGTTTAGAACGACATGAGGGTGAGTAATTAATGACAGAATTTTCATTTTGGGTGAACTATCCCTTTAATACTTTTTTTTTTTGTACATTTTGATTTTACATTTTTATAATTTAATTATCAGCTTTTTAACACACTGCAGATTACCCCATAAACCACCAACAAACCCCATTTTGGGAAACCATGGGCTAGATTGTTAGAGTTATAGACTAATTTGCTTTTAAAAGTTTGATTGGACACACATCCTTTAAAACCTCGTTATCCAGTCGAATACATGATATATACTGTATGTACCACTGCAATGCTTTACTAGCTTACCCTCCAGCTAGCACCATCAATCCTGTACAGGCTATCCAGAATGCAGCAGCATGTTTGGTCTTCAATCAGTCAAAGAGGAGCCATGTCACAACCCTCTTGTTCGCCAGCATTCAATTTAAAGCTCTGAAGATAGCATATAGGGCCACCTACCAGTTTGCATGCTCTTACCTAAACACTCTCCTTCAAATTTATGTTCCCTTTATTCCCTGCAGTCAGTCAAAATGTGATGCCAGGTGGCTACATCAAACACTCCCGTGATGGTGGAACATGTTCTTTCTTTGGTGTTTCTTTGCCTAACAGCAGTAAGGTTCCACAGATTATGTTCTTTACACTAATTGTTCTTTTAAGAATTGTTCACTTTAAAGGTTCTTTGGGGAACCTAAAATGGATCTTACATGGAATCGCTGTGAAAACCTCCTTTTGTAACCTTTATTTTTAAAAGTCTATCATAAAGTATGTAACAGACAAATTTAAGTACAATTCTTTCTGTCTAACTACATCTTAAGCACCTTCAGTATCCTCAAAGAACATCCACACTCCAAAAGGCCATCAAAAAGCAGATAGAGAATCTCACTGATGGTCCTTATAAAATCGGATCATTATCTCTCTGTTTTCCACTCACATTCTCCACACAATCTAAGTTTCGCCATGGGAGGCTCTGCTCTCCGAAGGGTGCTTGAGAGTTTGAGGCTGCTGTGTGGAATCAGGCCAGGGCTCAATTTACTTTAGCTCCCAGGCCTCAGCCCTGCGGGGACCCCTAATCAATGCCCTCCTCTCGCCCTCCTCATGATCCCTCTCCTGTAGTGACCTGATGTGATCGCTAATTGGGCTATTTGTGTGGAGCTGAGCGAGCCTGACGTTCTTCCTGTTTGTCAGTGTGTGTGTTTTATGATGTATCCGGGCCGTTTACTTATTTATTTGAAGCATGCACCTTCTGGAGTCTGTAAGGTGGTTTGATGGACTGCGTCCCGAAGGAGTCTCCCGAGGCCGTTTGCGTGTCTGCGAGCGTGTGTCAATGTGTGCGAGACGCCACGGCGGTGTCCTGCTCGTTGCCGCTCAGCATTCATTACACACCGTCACCCTCTGGGGCGTTTTTATTAACATTCCAATCAGGGCCGGGCCAGATTGCTCGATCTGCAGAAACAAATTGGGAATAGTCGTTGATATAAGGTTGAAAACACTCTGACAAAAGGAGGCACACAAATATGAATTCATGTGCACGGCACATTTTGAGATTTGGTCAATGATCCAAGTCGGGGCCATTACTCCTCTGTTTGTTAT